TCGGGAGATATTTGTTGGCCAATCTAATGAACCGGTTTTTGTAATATCCGCCGTTAGTTTCTATGGCTTGGTTATCCAGCTTGGGGCAGAATCTTCTGAGCGCGATTCTCCTTGTGAAGGGTGATTGGTCTGGGTGGGGCTTGAGGATGGAGGATGCTAGGTTAAGACGGGCCGAGAGGTTTACATCCATACTATCGGTGGTATCGTATCCCATAAGTCTTAGTAGCTTATAGAATTTTCCTATTGATCCACTGCCGGCCGCTGGCGCTGGCGGGGTCATGGTAGCGTGATCGTGGGGCGATATCCTATCCGCGAAGAGGTTGGCCATAAGAATGGGGTCACCTCCTACGTCGAATTGTTGGACCTCTGGTAAGTGGCCGTCACTGTCCTCGTCCTCATCGGAAGGTTCGTCATCCATGTCCAAAGTCTTGTCCTTCGCTCCTTGTCCGGGTGAAAACTTCTGGCGCCTAAAATCGCGGATCCATAGTCGAAGTTCATTCTGTCCTATAGTCGTGATCCAGGTATCCACCCAAGGAGCCAAGACTTCCCCTACCCCCAGCTCCAATGCTGAGGGAGGTAGTGAATTTAGAATATCACCGACCCGCTGGAGGCTTCTTTCCTCTCCTGGGGTCTTTGGACTTTGGGACGTATTCAATCTGGTAGTTGTTATAGGCAGTCGTAGATGGTTCTGATTGTTGGGGTTGTAGTTGTTGGGCGGCGCGGGTTTGATTGAACCCAGTCTTGCGCCCGGTTCCGACTGGGTTTCTGGAAAAGGGCTGTTCGGTTATCGTCGGCGGGGGTCCCAGGAATTTGAAGACTTGGGATTGGGATTCCCATTTGGTTTGCTCCCATCCCCATGCGACGGCTTTCGCGTATATCTGAGCCTTGGCCGCTATATCCCGTAAGAACTTGTACGACATGTCCTCTTTGAGTTCCTCAACCGCTATTTTTAACGATGGGAATTCGTGCGCGTCTCTGCCCTTAGCTTGATAGCCCGCTGTAACTTCAGCCACATGCATGGCATTGACGTAATGCTTGGCTACACGGATGAGTTTCCGCTTGTCCGTCTCCGTTTGAATACTGAGATTTTTAATTTCATCTTCAGTTAGCAGACATTCCATCGACTCTTTGGTGAGATCTACTAGCGGAATCGGAGGTAGCACCAATGTGGGAAAAAACAACGGTGTATGTTTAGGCTGAGGGTTCGAGTCCATTGGGTTCATCAACGATGAGCTTGCTTTCTCCTCTTTGTTTCCCGACAGTTTTTGGAGGGCACTTAAGATCATTTCCATTTTATTTTCCATGAGGTCCATCTTACCGGTGGATTCCATAGCAATGGCGTCTAATCTTATTTTCACTGCGTCCAATTCGGCTTTAAGTTGATTTCTTGCTGCGTCAGACATGGCTCTCGTATTATCCGAGGGTGCAGAATTGTTTCTGAGACGTCTGGTATTATTATCACCTTCAATTTTAGTCTTAGGTTCGCAGGTTTCCACAAAATTTTTGGGATGGAACGGCGTATTGATCGTGTAATAATAAATTAGCAGAAATAATTTATATTCCCGATCGCCGTATATATATATACGTGGGATCGGGCTCAAGCGATTTGTAACAACGTCAACAAGCTTTGTAAAAGACGGGGATCTTAATTATATTTGTAATTACATAATTTATGTGATAGCTACTGCGACAATAACTATATTTTTATTATTATATAAACATTACAGATAAAATATGATCGGAACATTTGGAGAATTTTTATAAAATGGTTAATAATAAAAATATAATTTAAGTGATGCTTGGTATATAGCGCTTTTGTTCCTGCGTTGAAAGTTCAACTAAGAACTTTTTTAACTTGTGTGTAAAAGTAAAAAATATGAGGAGCCCTCTACATGTTTGTTTGACTTTTAGGGTTGGGAGTAGATAATTGTAAGTTTAAGATATCTCTGTGTAAGCACTAGTTGATTACAAATCGGTTTTGAGAATATTCCTGTATTTGATTGTTTATATATTGAAGGATTTATTGTTACCATGAAAAATTAAGAAATTAATACCATGAAAATCAATAAATTAAATATATCGCATATTTTAAATTCTAAATCTTTATAGTAATTTGTCATAGTAAGTAAAATCAACTAGAGATGTATTTGATAATAATATTTTTTTTGTTCTTTGATTGAGCCAAAATTTTGGATTGTGAACTTTCATTTGAAATACTCTCTTTGCTGCGAAATAGTTTTTTGATAGATTTCTTACAGTTGTTTAGTTTTATAAATTGTTTCATATTGATATTTAATTCCATCACATCCTTTATAGTTTTGTAGTACCATAGTGATTTGTATTTCGTGTACTGTTTCCCTTTGTATGTATAAAGCCATGTTATGGCATCGTGTCCTAGATGTGGTCAGTTTCTTATTATGTGGGCTGGATGGCATATGATCTGACCTTTTCCAAAGATTTGAGTTTGAGATAAATATTCTATACTTTGTTTTATTTATTTCTCATATGTCCCCTCCATAAATATAAGAATTATTGTCGAGTTGATGATCCGCAGTCTAATAAATACCCAAATCTCCTTTGTTTTTCATACTTTCATATACGTATAAAAAGCATATCTCGCTTTTTGTATTCTAATCTTCATTTCTTCTTTACAACTAGGGGAGACCAGGGCTACTCGGCGCAAGGGGCTTGTCGGTTCAAAGGATTTTATTTTAAAACCAGTATGATTTAAAATTGAAGATTTTTTCTAAAATAGATATTATTATGGTATGCAAATATATACGCAAAATTCAAAATAGGAAAATTTTTACTAAAAAGGATTATGAAGAAGCTATAAAACTGTATGAAAAGGATATCTCATCAGGAAAATTACTATCTATTACAGGTTAAAAGATAATATTTTATAAATTTAATATTTAAAATAATAATTATTATATAAATTTATTAATGTGATTTTTCATAATACATTTCAATTTTAATATAATATCAGACCTAAATAAATATCTTGCAAACTAAAATCTTCATATCTATATTGGAATATATTAATATATTGTGCTAATATAATATATATTGTGATAATATATATTGTGATAATAAAATATATATTGTGATAATATAATATATATTGTGATAATATAATATATATTGTGATAATATAATATATATTGTGATAATATAATATATATTGTGATAATATAATATATATTGTGATAATATAATATATATTGTGATAATATAATATATATTGTGATAATATAATATATATTGAGATATTATATATATTGCATATATAAATTTTGATAATAAGTTCAATAATTTAAAATGAATTATATCTAACAAACAAATATTTTTTGTATATTCCATTTTAATTGACAATATATTATGATTCAAATTAATATAGTTTATAGTATGAAGTATAAACATTATAGCCTATAAATTTTAGCCTGATAATAATATCAATTATTTAAATGAATTATATCTGACAAATAAATATTTTTATATCTATTTTAATTGACAATATAATATGATTCAAATTAATACATTTTATTGGATATGAGCATTTTAGTTATCAGATTCTAATATTGGCCCGATAATAAAATCAAAGGATGTTATATATCTAAATATAGAATTAGATAATTTTTCAGTAAATTTATTATTAATGAAAAATTAAAAAAAAACATTATTAAATTAATAAAAGATGTGTGTATTATATGTAAACAGGATCATAAAAATTTTCATAATTTTGAAGATTGGTTTCAATGTAGGATATATTCTGACAAAAAAGTTTGTTATTTTATTTGTTATAATTATAGAATATTATATAAATAAAGCATCATTATGGCAGGGCCTTTTTGAAATTAGGCCCGATGCAGATCATTAATATTCAAATACTTTTTTTGAAATGTATTTATTTTTTTTTAAATTTTCTCACCCTGCGTGTCAAAAATATATACAAATATGAGAGTTTTCAATGTGAAATTTACACTTCCGATGAGCCCGCTCATTTTTGGGAGCCTATGCCTGGAATGAGTAATGCTAACGGAAGGAATTTTTTTTCCTCGATCATATCGTGAATAATTTATCTAAGAATAATAAAAATTATATATTTTTAAAAGTTAAATTACTCTTGAATGCTCTGCCATTGTCATTTTTCTAAATTTTGGATGAACCAAATTGGTAAAATAGATTTCGAAGAATTTCAACAACCACTTCAACTTTCCTTGATGAAAGAGCATTAGCAATATAGAATTTAAAATTAAATACCATAAATAGCGCAATAAAAATTTCAAAAAAATTTCTCGATATATTATCGTATAACGAATTATTCGATACGATTAATAAATTTTATTATTCGGATCGGACGATATCAAATTATTCTATCACTATAAATTAAAAGAAATAGATACGATGGGGATTTCTTATTTGAATAAGTTTATTTATTGTTCATTGTGATATATTTGTTGGTGAAAGTGGGAAGGGTATGTAGGAGGGGGGGGGGGTTATCAATGTATCCCATCCTTCATTTGGCTATGCTATTGCTACTAATAGTATACCTAGTTTAGAATGTGAAAAAAAATGCATTCGCGTTAATGTCTACTTGATAGTATAAATTATTAAATCAGGCTAGGTTACAAATACCTTATCAAATGTTTTAAAATAAATTAAGATGAACCCAAATAATTCATCCTTTAATGGCTTGGAATTTCAAAAAGTTTTAACTTTAAAACTTTACATGACTTTGTTTTAGGTAATCTTGGATCTGGCCAATACTTTATTTCGTATTTTTCCAATTTTTTTCTAAAAAAAATTTAACTTTCTTGAATGACGACAACGCCGGCGGCGACAGGACAATGAGTTGTTGTTTTTTATTATTAGTTTTTAGAATTTTTTTTTTTAAAAAAAAAGAAAACATCAAATTTTTATTTATATTATTTATAAATAAAAAATAAATAAATATTCTATTCTATTCTATCCTTCACTCGACAATTTTAAAATAAATTAGAAAAATTTTAATTTCATAATTTAGTAATTTCTAAATATCGGTTCAGTTATCCACGCGCGACAAAATGAAAGAAAATATTTTATTAAGAAGAGGAACATTACTATTTTCAGAAGAACCTTACGCGGTAACTCTTTCGGATGATTGTAGAAGCACTCATTGTTCTTATTGTTTGTAAGTAAAATTTATTTATACAAATGAAGATTCAAAGAAAAGTAGTTATAAAAATGTGAAGAAATACTTATTTTAAGAAAAGTTAGTAAGACCGGTTCGGATCTAATCGAACTGTTATACCGAAATAAACCTTTATAATTGTCGGAACCGTAAGTGAACCTTTATGCCATATAGCTAGAAGGAGCAAACCGAGCCTTTATAAATTTTTTGAAACGGTTTATAACCTATTCGTTTTAATTAAAACATTTTTATAATGAAAATTTTTTTTAAAATTTTCCCCAACATCAAATATTTTTTTAAATTTATTGATATCCATAATAGTAATGCTGTTAAACAGCTCGATTTGATTCGTTTAAAAACGGCTAACTCAATATTTTAGCCAAAAAATATTACTTAATTCTCGAGATTTTGCTAATAGATGTCCAAAACTTCTGTACCACCTATGAGCCAAATATTTAGGCCTGCGTAATATTTTTCTGAATAAAACATTGAGTTAACCGGTATTAAAAATCAAAACTAAGTTATAGTATAAATCATATGTTTTTTTAAAAGTATTTTTCTGTTTTTTTAAATTTTAATTTTTATATTAATATAAATAAATATACTGTTTTAAAAAATTTTTGGTAGTCGGTAAAAAGGGTCATGGACAAAAAGCCTGGGTAAAAAAATTACTCTAAACAAAAAGACACTGGACATAAATTAACCCGGATAAAAATACATCGACCTTCGGATATTAAGACAACGGACAAAAATATCCAAATTTTATTAATTTTTTTTAAATGTTAAGTAAAAGGGGAGAAAATATTCCTCACATATGTTTCATTCTTCAATTAAAAATATCTAACTATATACTGATAAATTTTATAAAAGAAACCATCGCATAGGTAGAGTATTTATTTATATTAAAAAATAGTGTGATATATAAATCTATATTTTTTAAAAAAAAAGAATGAGAATAAAATTAAGTAGGGGAAACGTTTAGATGTTGGCTAAGCAGTTTATGGCTGATATCGGCTAGAGTTAATCTAGGTATTAAAGTAAATTATAAGTAATACTTAAGTTTTTAGACACTAAACCCACTACTTTCGGTAACAGTAATCCATAAGTTTCTTTTACTGCCTGATACCGAGCTCGGTAGGTCTATGCAAGGGTTAGTGTTTATATCAGATGAGAAAATACTTATTTTATTGGTTACTAAACCTAAAATAATCTATTAAAAATGTAGGTTTTTTTTAGCTAAAAAAATTTCAAACTTTTTTAAAAATTTTCAGTGTTTTATCAAAAATATAGTTTAAAATATCAAATGAAACTGTGTGATATATTTCTATTTTAGAATTCTATTGATTTAACAACCTGATTTTAAAATTGCTGTTGGAGCCCTGCAAAATCAATTATTTTTCTACTTCCGGTGGACTCTTCTCCCACCGGCTACGCCTATGATTAGATACACTAATAGAAATTGATGATTACTTGATAGATTGAGTTGATAAATAAAAAAATTTATTTAGTAAAAAAAATAAAAATTATGGAAGATTTTAGCCAATTTACTTTTTTCTGAGATAAGATCGAATGACCAAAGTAATATTTTGAATCCTGAAACATAATATTAATATTGAATATGCAAGGCAATATTTAATTACCTAATTTTACACCTCCTTTGATAATACTAATCTTAAAATAGCTTTCTTAAAAATTATATACACGAAATATTAAAATTTTTACTAATAATTTTAAATGTAAATATCTTTATTATAGGAGACGGGGCAGCATTTAAATATTTTGGGGAAGGGGGGGGTTACCATCTCTTCCCGTCCTGGCGTACATCTACCATACAATATTGATATAGTCCTTAGAATAACAAACAATGTAATTTTGGGGCTATGCTTTATTTTTCTTTCTTTCTTCGTAACCCTCTGAAGGGACATTAATCTGATGCTAAAGAACAAAGGGTTATTAACGGAATTAAGAAGCATTAAAAAGTCGGCTAAATTTTTATGGAATCAAAGTTATTCTTATTCTTATTGTTTTTTTTTGCTTTGTAAGACATGCGATTTTTTTGAGAGCAAATTATTTATGACTATTCCTGTCTAACACTAACTACCTTGTTACCAAAAAAAATATATACTCCAGCCTAACCCTTGTAAAAGGGAATAAATGGATCTGTTTTATTTGAAAATTAAAATAGATTTTAAAATTAAATATAGAAAGTAAAATTAACTTTTCCGGAAGGGACAAAGAATTCTATCACAAGTTGGAGGCAAGTAAGTCGCGGAATAGTCAGTTAGACCCCTAGGGGTTTTTTTATATTATTGAACTTATCTCTTAAAGGAGTCAGGCAAAATTTTAAGCCCCTATCATTTTGTTAATTTTTTTGAATCTAAATTTCAGGAGTAGAGATAATATTTTAGCGGGATAGGGGATAATTTTAGCAGAATAGGCAATGACTTAGGAATTGAAGCTGCTGATAAGGGACATATGTATTAAACTATCGTAAAATTTTAATAAATTAATTTGGTGTTGTTATTTAATTCTGATTTATATAAGAATTTATGATTTCTACTATTATTCAATTTTTAAAATATATAGCGCAAAAAACAAGCTTTCCAAGTGCATTAGCTGTGAGTTGCATCGATATTGTAATAAGGCATGCCAAGTAATTATTTTAATATAATTAAGATTCAACTTAAATTAATTAATAACAAAGCTGGGAACATTCCTTTCTAAGAAAAAGGGTTATGGGTTCGGTAAAAAAATGTCTGAACAAGGTTCAGGTTCAGGGAGTCCAGAAAAAGTAAAAAAAAAAAATAAAGGTCGGCCCAAACTGCCCTTAAAAATTTCCCATCATATTTTTCAGTCCAGCTGATAATTACTTTAACCTAGCCTGGTGTGTAAGATATATTTTGTAGAAATTGTCCGGCCAGACCCAACGCGTTTTTCTCGCTCTTTTAGAGTAACCTTGTCCACCAGGACATATCTATAAATCTAAAATGATACAGATTTTGGGTGCAAATTTATCTTCTTGTCATCATATTTCACTTCAAGCCCTAATAAACGCTTGCCATTGGCTCAGATAATAAAAGCTTGAATGTTGTTTTTATTCCACCCTCGGTAAATGACCATTGGAAAAAGTTAAATCTTGAGCTCTAGTAAATTATAAGACTATAAATGGTGATACTTACAGAACAATGATATGAGAGGTTGCAGGCGTCATCTATCTATTGTATAAAAAAAATATTTAGTTAGATATTATTCCCTTTCCTTTCTTATTCTTTGCTGATTTTTTTTTTATCCCAGTTTACTTATATTATATATTATATAAATTGATTGATTTAAATTGATCGTTATAAAATTTATTCATGATACCTAGTATTGTTAAAGGACTCATTTTTAGCCAATTTTTAGACACGGTTAACTAAATATTTTATTAAGAAAATTATTATGCAAGCCTTAAGATTTTGTACATAGGTGGCACAAAGGTTTGAACATCTATTAGCGAAATCTCAAAACTTAGACAATATTTTTCTGGCTAAAATGTGAAATTCAGACAATATATTTCTGGCTAAAATATAGAGTTCGCCGTTTTTAGAAATCGGCTCAAATCGGCCGTTCAGCAACACTAATGATACCTGGCTTAATAAATAAAAGAATTATCCATAAATGAATTTATATTTTATATTATTAATAGGCAAAAGATTGGGTAGATCATAAATACGAATGTAAAATAATCAAAGGTTTAGCTTTAGAGGATCGGGTCCGAGTTGATTACCAATTCCACCTCCTATTTCGTATAATTTTTAAACTTGAGGTATATATTTTTATTACAATGATCATTTTATTTTAGTACATTTCCTAAATGTAAAAAAAAAACTCCCATAAATTTAAAATATAAATGAATTTATTCTACTGTAACTTCCAGGTGAATCATACATTGTGTTGAGGTAATCAATATTGTATTGTAATGAGACAATGACATTATACTGAGTTACGTTTATAAATTATGAAAATATTATCAAAAGGAGCTAAGAAAGATCAATGATCATAATAATAAATATTTTGGTCTAATCTAGTTATACATACTATAACTGCAAGAGATATATGGAAATTTTAGACGGGGATGACAGATAAACTTTTATATGTTCTTTTCCCGATTTGTAAAATTTCTTTTTGATAAAGTTCTCTCTCGTGGCCAATTGATTTAAATGCAGCCCTAGGCATGACAATGTAGCAATAGACGCTTAAAAGGAAATTATATTTGGATCAAGGTGGTTAGAGGAAATAAATTTTCACAATCTTTTGAATATTTTTAAAGAGATGATTATTTTTTTCTTCTATTTAATTTTAACTCAAAACATATTTTTCAAAAAGATTTCGTTAACAAAACAGTTATTAATATATACATTTTAATACATTATAATTAAGAAAATAAATGAAAATCTCATTTTTCATATTTTATTTGGTCATAAACTAAAAGATGTTAATCAAATTTATACCAAATGATTTTCAGATAAAGATGATATAAATTTATTAATATTTCTAATTTTATTTTTAAAATAATAATTTAATAATATTATTTTTTTTTAAATAAAATATACTTTCTATAATAAATTAGCAATAATTTTTATGTTAAATTCGTGAGGTGAGGTGCTAAATCAAATAGACGAAGGATCATTCATGGACAAAAATCTTTGAAGATTAGCTAAGAGGATTTTTTTAAAAAAAAAGGATCTTTGAAAAAATCTTTATGAAAGATTTAACTTATAAAAAATATAATTATAACAAAGAAAGTTCTTTATTTCTTTCTTTTCTTTCTTATTATCTTTCATTGGGCTAAAGTCTATATTATAGGTTAGGGTTAGATTAATTATTAATTAGGAATTTATATGATAATGATACTAGGTTTAGAGTTCGATTTGTTAAATCAGGGCTTAATTTAGGATTAGGTTAATATTCAAAAATATTTTTCATAATTTTCTAACTATCAAATTGGTGTATTAGTGAAAGGTAATAAATATAATGGATAAAAAGTAGGAGAAAGACTAAAAAATAAATATTTCGAAATATTTTTATAAAGAAGTATATATTTTTTTAAAAAATATATATTAATTTAAAGCGCAAATCAACTAAAGATGACCCTGAAAATTTAATATCTTATTGCAATGAAAAAATTAAATTGACTAAATACAACTTTATGGATTTAAAGGAACACTTCTTGAAGGATATGGAGATGTCCAAATCTGAAATAAAAGTCCATCTCGATTTACTCAAAATTTTATTGCCCCAAAAAATATGGGATAAATATGAACAAATATTGCCCCATATATACTGCAAAGTAGGTTCAATATAGTTTTAATTTTTTTAAAAATAATATTTACAGTATATTTTAATCGGGATAGTGTTGTTAAGCGGCGATTTTTACACAGCCTCGAGATTTCGTTAAATGATGCCCAACACCCTTTTTGTCTGCCATCTATAAGCAAAATCCTCCAGACTAGCCTAATATTTTTGGCTAAAAGATTGGGTTAGTCGTTTTTTTTTAAAATCGAGCCGTTTAACAACAAACTGTTTAAATTATTTTTTAAAAAAAATATTTATAAGCTTTAAATATTTTGAGTATCGAAAATGTAAAATAATAAAATGGTCAATTAATACAGAAAATAATGCCAAACAGGCATGATCCTAATCTTCTAATTAAGTGTGGACCCTAACAACACTATTTTTATTCCAATCGCCACCAAATTTTGGGACCAGGAATAAAACATGCCATCTAATAAAGGACCTTGAATAAAATTGAATAACCTCAAGTACCAGAGATCCAAATAAAGATTTTTACCCCTGCCAAATAAAATTCTTAAGTATTTACTCTATCTGGGTGGAACTGATCCTCTTATTTACTTAACCCTCCCCACTCCTTCCAATTTTTTTTATTCATTGTCCATAAAATACATAACTGCTAACTATAGTGAGAAGGCTGAAGAGGAAAGTAAAAACAATTCTCTCCACTGAAAATTTTTTAAAGTTTTGATTATATCATTTTCTGATAAAAATTGATACAATTCTTCAGAAAATTAATATAAGATTAAAAAAAATTTGAAATAATAACTATAATAGTGGTTTCAAATTGAAGAGTTTGTATTAAGCATATATAACGCAAAAAAAGTTTACATTTTCATGATACAATATGTAAGTACATAATTTGAAATTAAACAGAGCAAATGCTTTCAATTTGAAAGCACTATTAGGCGTCTGCTAAGTAATATAAAACTGTGATTCAAATTATTTCAGAAAAAAATAATATGTGAATAAAAATAAAAATTATTTATAAGAAGAAATGTGCAACCGCCAAAGACCTGCAGCGACCTAAATATTTATAGTCGAAAAGGCCACCTAAAAATCTCCCTCCATACCAAATACATATTTTATATAGTATATTATATTTTAAGATGTTCGTATGGGGGCCTTTTATATATTTTTTTAAATTCTTAGATATTGATTAATTCATTTACTATAATGGACGAACACCGGCAGGGAATAGGCTCGGGAATTTTTATCAAGTATATATTCTAATTTTAAATAATATTCTTTTATATATTACATGAAATGATGAGGGCTGTGAAACGGCTACTTTCCTTGAACCAGAACTTAGTTTGATTCTTTGGAATACTATTTTTAAAAATTTAAATGTAAAACAAACCGAAATAAAACAAACTAGTTATCGCCCCCCCCCCCTGAGGTCAATTACATATAATACTGCATATCCAGACTGACGATTCATTCATTAGAATGCATATAAGAGTCGTTAAAAACAAATCTGCTGTGTGACACGCCATTTTGGTTTCCGTAGAGTTTTTTTTTAAAATATATCAGAGACCTGCAGAGGCACCATTTGCACGGCCCGGCCCGGTTTTAAATTTTTTAGGCCCGGCCCGGATATTTTTTTAAAAATTTTTTTACGGCCCGGCCCGGCCCGGATTTAAAGATTTAAGGCCCGGCCCGGATAAATTTTAAAAAAAAATTTTACGTCCCGGCCCGGATTTAAAAATTTCAGGCCCGACTCGGAATTTTTTAAAATTATATTCGACCTGGTATATACAAAAATTCACCCATGAGGTATTTTACCATATTTTTCAGCAAGTATTATCGCTTATTATTTAAAAAATACATGAAAAAAGCTGATATTTTGAGAATATTATATTGAATTTATAAAAATTATAAAACTGTTATTTATAAAAATGGATATTTTGAGCATATACTATATTTTTTGCATTTATAAAAATAAAACTAATATTTAATTTATAAAAATGGAAAATATTTTGAGAATATAATATATTGTATTTAATTTACTATTTAATTTATAAAATAAAAATAAATATTTTATATTACATTTATAGGTTGGTTTTTCAGGTGTAAAAAATTTTTATTAACCTTCATGGATTTGCCATCACATTTATGTCTTTTTAGATGTGATGTTCCATGTTTATAATTATAAGATAATATACTTGAACAATTCTTATATTGTACGTAGCCAATGTTTTTTTATTTTCATCTATGATGATGTTAAATTTAGCCCATATTTCAGATTTTAAATTATTATTTGTATTTCTAAAAGAATAAATATTATTTTTAATTTTATTAATTATATCATTAGTATTTTGTGCCATGATAATCCTTTATTTGATTGTTTTGGTAAATATTCTAAAAATTTAGATATGAATTATAAAAAATATATATTATTAATACTTGAATATTGTGGCTTATTTAAGATATTCCTTTATTTGATTGTTTTGGTAAAATATGTTGTAAAAATTTAGATATGAATTATAAAAAAATATATTAATACTTTGTATAAATTTGCAGGAAATTAATAATTAGATCGATCTGTGGGTGTTAGGTGTGTTAACCATCACCCAATATTATATTAATCATAACTATAATATAATATAATCTTATAACCATTAACTCATAATGTAAAAATTTTTATAAAAAATATTAAGGCCCGGCCCGGACCGGGTTTAACAATCTTAGGCCCGGCCCGGATATATTTAAAAAAAAATTTTTAGGCCCGGCCCGGATATATTTTAAAAAAAATTTTTTAGGCCCGGCCCGACCCGGGTATATTTAAAAAATTTAAAATACGGGCCGGGTATAGGGCCGGGTCTGCAGGTCTCTGAAATATATACATCAGAGACCTGCTGAGGTACCATTCACACGATCCGGCTTGGCCCGGATATTTTTTTCAGCCCGGCCCGGAAAATATATTTTATTTATTTTTAATTTTTATAGCCAATAATGGCGATATAAAATATTTGATTTTAATTTTTTTTTTAAATAAATTTTTAAGCCCGGCTCGGGTTTATCGGCTAGGGTATATTTAAAAAGTTTAAATACGGCCCGGCCTGTGTACCGGGCAATGCTTATGGTAGGGCCTGCAGGTCTCTAAGATACATAAAATATGAATATATATTATTTAGATGCGAAACCAAAATGGCATGTCCCCTGCTGATTTACATTAAAATGAATGATCGTCAGTCTATATAATATTACATGTCATTGCTTAAAGCTCAGCTGAAGATGACAAAAATACTGGCTAGGTAAAATAAAAAAATGGCATTTAGCTTAGGGACTTTTTTAAAAGCAATTCCATGCTAACCGAATGCACCTAGAGGTTATTCGAAGTGAAAGTGCTTAGAAACTGGCTGAAACTTAAAACGATAAATATAATAATACAGTAGAAAAATAGCAATTAATAATGCGCGAAAAAATTATCGTTTAAGTTTTGGAACTTTCCGCTTCATTCAACATCTGTTTTCTTGTAGAATTTATGAATAAGCTCGACCTTAAAAATTTTCATAATAAATACAAGTTTCTGATTCGCCCGTAATTAAATTGAGGGAATAATTACAAATTTATTCATCATTTTTTGATGGTCTGCTCTGCTGTATCATATAAATATGTAATTCATTAGCCAATTTTAAAATAAGTTTTAGATATTATATAATGTATATTTAGATCTAGCATAGAATATTTGGTAATGATCTTCTGGGAGCAACTATTGATTATTATTAATTTATATTTAAGTAATCTTGAATATAAATCAGTTCGACTGAACTATTCATTTAAGTCATCCTAAGTTCTCACCTAAGATTTTTGCTACCGGCCTTAAGAAATGTTAAACTTTCGTAAAGCATATATAATTCGAAATGTTTTTTTAGCCATTCAAAAGTTAATCACAACTGTATCCCAAATGGAGTTTGTATATCTAACGGTAGGACCCAACACTTGGTTTTGATAGAAGATGTTTACTTGCCCAATGCGAATGACTTGGAAAAATATGTAATCGAACTACCAATATGAATAAATTTGCTATTCAACATTGATAAAATAAAATAATATTGTGATTTTATTTAAAATAGATGATTTGGCAATTATTTTTTTTAATGGTTAAATGTCTAGGCACATCCTATATTAATCCAAGGAAATCACAAGTGTTCTTTTTAGTTATATTATGGATTGGTAATTATAATGCTTCTAAATTGAGTGTTAGCGTTTTGCGCAATTTTTTAAAAAAAATAAAACCTAGTCTTTTCTTTTCTTGTTAACCATCTTTGGTATCAATTAAAATTGAAGCAATAATGACCGACATCGATACGAAACAAGAATTGATTTCTACGCATATCCGATTTATACTGATATTAGACCCCAGAAGGCCATGTTTTATGTCTAGTTTAATAGTAAATTTACTAATCTAACCCTAAATATTTCATAGAGACTAACGCTAGATCAAAACATTGTTATATTTCAAATTAGTTTTTAAAATAATTCCCCATCCCCTTTTTCTAACTAAGAATTAAAAAAATTTTTTTTAAGAGTCTTTTTTTTCCGGTAATATTTTCATCCGGTTATTCGAACATCTATGTCCGATTAAAATTTAAAAGTTTTAAATTTAACGAAAGAATTAACTTGACGTATTCCGATCAAAAATGATTGGCAAATGCATATTTTGTTTTTTTTAAAAAATATTTTCTTGATAATTTTTTTGATAATTAGTATCTAGATTTTTAATAGCAAGTGTTATTATATTAGATAACCATTTTATACATCATCGAACCCTAGCTTAATCCCATATGAACATACTGCCAAATTATCTTATTTTTATCTAATTTCACTCGCATTACACCAAAAAAAAGTGGGGATAAGAGTAAATTAGATCATCTATACTGTTTAATTAAACTTATGATTTTAAAATAATTTAATTATCATTAGGTGCATATTACATATATGAATCCGATAAGCTCAACCTGTGCTAGACAACATTTCTTCAAAAACAATTTACATTTTACCTGTGATTGCGCATTGTGTTGCTCAGATAAGACTCAAGAGCAATCATCGAATAGTCTAGAGAACGAATATAAGATAGATATAATAGATGGTTATTTATTTTAGGCATTTATAAAATTGATAAGATACTTATTTTCATTTACTATTATATACCGTCAAAAATAGTTGTGAATCATAAATAGTTGTAAAATTACATATGATAATGTGTCACAATTGATGGTAAATCACAGATGACTGTAATCCTAATACAACCTATTTTATTGTATTTATAAAAGTTCTCATCCTAATACGTCTAATCAATTTAGGGTAGAGAAAACGGCAATCTCATACTATTTTAGAACATATAAAAATGATAAAATCTAAATGATGGAGATATATATCATAGAGTGGACGGAACCGTTTACCGGAATTTCTTTGAAATTCGATCATACCTCAACCTTTATAAAATCGTTAAAAGAATAGAACCATATCAATATAATATTTAAAATGATAAGTATAATACTTTTTCTGGGGAGCTTTTTGCAATGGTATTTAGCCCTGTTTTTAAAAGCAAAGTGCTATCGCTATTTGCCAAAAAACGTAGCGCGCTATGCTACCACTACTTATGGAAAAAATAACGCCGATTATCTAACATTTTTAAAAAGTGGATCTTTATGTATAAAAAATAATTACAAATAAATTTTTTTGATGTAATTGCATAAATAAAAATCAACATTTATAATAATTTTAAAAAAATATTTCGAGTGTAATAGAAATGATTATGTATGTTTATTATTTTATTACATTTTAATAACAATTCTATATCATCATTCCCAAGTCTAAGCTTTATAAGTCTTGCCTTATACTAAGAGTAATGGAATATAAAATAAGAATATTAGAATCTATATCCATTTGCGTAGACATTTTAAATATATTACATCAGTTGGTTTGGATTTAAAATAAGAAATTTCGAAAATATAATTAATAAAATATAAAAATTATAATTTAAATTTAATTATTTTTCGTGTTTATAGTCAGTTATATTTCTTATATTTTTTTAAAGTTTCAAAAAAGTAGCGCGCTAATATAATGACTATATTGGGCAGCATTAAAAGGTAGCGCGCTATTTTTTTTTAAACATTAGATTATGAAATATAACTTAATTATATTTAAATTTTTATTTCTGTTTATTTTTTGGCATTTTAATTTTATATTAGAAAATAAAATATTTAAAAAAATCGATTCATTTTGATTGTATCCGATTGAATGCGAGCAAGTTTATATTATTAAATGATAATGTCCAAAGGCATCAAGTTTCATCCCCTAATGATTGTTAAGATTGGGTTTATTGATAATATATAGTGTTGTCTAAATGGAAATGGTAGGGATTCCAGGAAAATTTGTAGATTAATGGAAGTGTAAAGGTGATAATTTACTGTAGAAGTGATCTAGAAATAGAAGAAAAATTAAATAATTAATATTAGCTATTTAAAAATAATTTTATTCTTTAAAAACGTAAAAATTGACAACTTTATAGATAATTAACGTAATTTAAAACAATTTTATTAAATTCTTGAAACGCAAAATTTGATAACTTTATAAATAATTTCCAAAACGCACGTAATTACCAAATTTTGTAGTAATCTTCTTTTTTTTATAAATGTTTGGGTTTTTATATATTTTCTTTTTTTTACAATAAGAATTAATATTCAAAAATTAAAAAATTCGAAATGACTTCATATTCATAACAATTTTATTTTAATATTATATTAAACATTAACTAAATATTCAAATATATTCATAAATAAAATATACAAAAATATAAAAACTAAATATTTAATCTAAAAATTCCCATACAATAATAATCAAATATACAAATTTAAAAATCCATGTATAATAAATATTCAAATTTGAGTTATATTTCCAAAATATTTATTTTTTTAATCTTTGCATACGTGAAATAGCTGCAGTTATGGCCAAGGTAGATATAATATTTATTATAATTGGACAAATATAAGATATTTTAGCATAGTAGGGCGATTTCAATATTTTTATTTTAAGAAAAATTTGATATAGATATTATTTTTCTTAAAAAATTTAAAACACGAAAACCGCGAAAGTATCTTTTATAATCTTTTTTTTTTACTAGAAAATTTTATTTTTAAGCAGGTGATAGGCCGAAACGATTATGAATAACGGCTCAGACTCTTGGTTAAAATTTTTTTATTTATAAAAAAAATAATGTGTTCCGATATCGGAACCTCGAGCTAAAACGAGAAATATAAATATATTAAAAGATAACAATATTCCTTTACATAATTTTATGTTCGCTTTTTATCAATATTTTTCAGTGCATTTTTTTATGCTTTCGCTTCTCTTTAATAAAAAATTAGCTCTCCACTCCCCTCCCCCTTCCTGACAAAAATAATTGACTAACGTTATTTTGTAACTGATGATTCACTATGTTATCACATATTTTGTGATATGCTCAATTTATATAAAAAATATATCAACAAGAATTGACTAATTATCGGATTTCAAAAAAGTTTTCAATATTATCAGTATTTTGAACATTCCATATAATCATCAAAATATTAACATTTCAAAAGTTCAAGTTTACTTCCTAAGATTTTTTTTAAAAAAAAAGAAACTAGTTTTAATTCAAGTTTTATTATAAAAATTTAGAATATTTACCAAAATATGACTTTCAAGAATCTGATTTGGATATAGAAGAATTACAGATATACCAGGAGCAATATTTTAGCCAATACCTAACAAAAAAGAATCAAGTTCTGTTTAGTCAGAAGTCGAAGGCTGTATCATTCCCAGTTTCTACGAACATAGTTTACAACACCATGCTACAGGCAAACATAGACGCTAATGTGATAGATACCGGGCGAAATCTTACGAGACGTGACCCCGAAGCAAAGATCATCTTCAAAATAATGTACGAAATGTGCAGAGCTTTGGAAAGTGGACATATCTTGAAGTTTTTGTTTTGGATGCTCATTATGTTCGTAATTCATTTACTCAAACCTCTTCAAAAGAGATATAAATATTTATTTTATAAAATCGCACAAATGTCATAACTAAGTGATTGTCATTGCCTAATCACTATGCTTTTCTATTCCGTAAACCAATCGCTTGTTAAAATTACTAGTAATGTTTGACAACACTTTCTAAGTTAGTTGCTATAGTTTTTAAAAAAATATTATGAATGATATTCTTTTTATTAGAAAAGAGTCTAATAGAAATTTGTTTCAAAAATTTCTTAACTTATATTTATTTACAATATTTCGATATTTTATTTAAATATTCATTTTATACACTATATTATCAGGTTTTTTATTTATATATTCTTTAGAAAAAATTATGGTAAATACGAAGTGTATTTAGCGATACATTGGTATAGGATGGCTACATTGTCGAAAGCGTTGAACTACAAGTCGTCACCAAATTATTTACAAAAATAAAGTAGAAAAAATTTAAATGTGTAAATTGAAATATCCTTGAAAAATAATTAGTTTTTATCGCGTGGTTTTTATCTATAATTTTTGGTAATTCTTATACGCGATAATGTCGATAGGAAGAGTTGAAAGTGATTTCAAGTTCACCTAAAATATTTTAACTCTGAGCAAATTGTTCTTTTTGTAACGAGTTTTACTCTTAACCAAAAAAATTTGAATTTACTAAACACCTTTTTTTATGAGGGCAATTTAAAAATTAATAGTGAAATACATTTGTAACATTTTTGTGGTCATATTTCATCGGAATTTTGTAAAAAATTTCTATATCGGGTGGCGCAAAATAAAATATATTCTAAAAATCATATTTAAGGAAAATAAATACTATCTATGTTGAAGAGTATATTCAGGAAAGTCAACTAGGGTTCCCATATGTCTACACGAATTATATCGAAACCTGGAGGGCATTTTTGGGAATATGTTTAAAGAATTACGACAAATAGACTCGGTCGCCTCAAATGATGCTATGCGGTGTCTCCTTTAATTGCGAAACATATATTTTTCATTTAATTACAAAAAAACAAATGTATGAACGGCCCTAATCTATGTGGATTTTGTTTGAACTAATATTTCAAAATATAAATTAAGGTTATTCTAACTTGATGATTGGATACATGATAATACCTAAGATAAATACTAGATTTTCTATCTACTTGCTATCTATCCGAAATCCAAATTCTCCTGAACTTAGATCCATTAGATAACTGTGTATGAAACAAATAAAGCAAACAGTTACAATAAACCAGAGTGCCCTAGGTGACATTTTGTATCATAAGATATTACATATTATCAAATGAAATTGGTTCCAAATTGTTATTCAACAAAATGGAAGGCCTAGTTATTCCGATAGGTAAGTAATTTAAATAGTATTGATTTTTGAATATCATTTATAAAAATGAGTTTTTATCTCTAATGATTTAACAGATCTGAGTAAAAAGTAATAACAAGCTTTCAGTAGATTTATTTTAAATTGGTTAAGTGTATCTTCCGTTTAGAGGGTTTTTTGTGCCACCCGATACATTTTTTTTTTTAGCAAATTCTGTCTTTTGAAACTTCTGATTATTTTTTAATATTTTCGAGTATAAATTTGTAAATTTACTTATACTTAATTATATTCAGTATAGTCGGCTTTAATTGATTTCCTCAGTATTTTTTTCGAAATTTCCAGTATTTTTAAATATATTTTTTTCAGTATAATAACAAATTTTCATTAATTCTACCAGTATAAAAAATAATAGCAGTCAGATTTTAGGCTTCTATTCATAATTTACGGTAAAATGGATTTGTCAGGAAATGCGATTTTTCCACTTTATTTTAAATATATTATTACCCATAAAATAACTACAATATTTAAATAAAATAGATTAATTTTGCTATTATTTTTCTATCTAAATTTAAATATTGTCATAATTACTTATAGAATGGGTAATTTTTCATAATATTTTAGCTTACATTTTACACTAAAAAATTAAATAACAATAAACGCCAACCTATGGATTAAATATTATTAAATATAATTTCTTATTCTCATGATTATTTATGTAAATATTTTTTTTTTTGATATTATTGTAAATCCTATTATCTTATTTAATTTACATAAAACTTAATTAAAAATAAAATTCTATAATTGAGTCCCCAAAAAAGAACCATAATTGTGTCTAAAAATTTCTATTTGAATTTTTTGTCGAATAAAAAGGAATTCTCTTGGTTCATTTGTGAAAAGGCGTATTTTATTAGCAAGATTTTTTAAAAACAAAAATGTTGAAGATATAGATTAAAGGATTTAAAACATATATAATTAGATTAAAGGAATAAATTTATATTTAATAATAGTATTTATAGAACTATAAATTTAATTAATTCATTAATAAGCGAAGAAGTTTATCATAAATTACAAAGTGTTTTTAACAATAAGTATTACTTACATCACCTACATATAAAAATTGTCAATTCTATTTTTAATAAAATAATGTAAAGCATTTTTTATAATTTTTATCTAAAGGTTTAATTAAGATTTTAAAAGGAAAGGCTAAAAGATTTTCCTATGCTTTAAGGGAATTTTAATTTTAATTAACTTCCATAATAGTGTTGTTAAAAAATTCGAAATTATTTAAAAAGGAGGTTAGGTGGACTAAGGTTGGTGGCTTTTCCCATTTTAAAAAAATTATCATAAAAATTTTGAGTTACAATGGGGGGTTATTTCAATTTTGTTGCATAAAATTTCATTTGAATGGGGTTTACCATAATTTATACATGGTTTTAACCAGAGCCCATGTTTATAAAAACGAATAGCCTGTGTCAAGGTTATACCCATTTTAGAAGAAAATTAATAGAAGATTGAATATTCTGCAAATAAAAAACCCGGACCGAGCCAAAAAAAATTTTGAAAAAAAAAAATCTGGGCCGGGCCGTGCAATTGGTACCTCTGCAGGATTAACAGATTTAAAGTTATAACCTTGGGCCCTTCATAAAAACCTCAATATTTTTATTTTTGATGCAGCCACTTCTTCAGTTATGGTATTTATAATCTATTCAAACCAACTTGAAATAAAAGGCCGGAAAGATTAGTTTACTCTTTTTCCTTTTAATTTTTGAAAAATATAATATAAAATTAATTTATTTGATTTTATTAGTACAGGAGCGAAATTTAATTTTTTAGGAAAATAACTTCCATTAATTAAAAAAAAAATGAAATTTATAATAATATGTCACGTGATTTTTAAGTGACGAATTTTTATGTTTGAATTAAAATTTGAAAATAATTCACTTGATTTAAATCAAATATTTCCATTTTTATCGAATCGTTTTTTTAATCCAAGTTTCCAAACTCTTGGATGTTCTCCATTTAGAATTTCTTTCTTGCACATAAAAAAATTTATATATGCCATTTTTTTTCTTCTTCTATCAAAGTGTTTAGAGATTTTGAACGCCGCTTATCCTTTGACTCAATTAAGTGAAACTAAGATCAATAGATCTATTATTGGTACTATGAGGAAATTTTGTTCTGCCTGAAACTATAACATAAAGAATATTACTATATATACAATTATATCATAAATTTTTTAATGATTTTTAATTGTGATATTAAATATTTGATGATGATATAACATTTGTATAAAAATTTTTTTTATTATATATAAAATAAAATAAAGATAAATTGTTTATTTTTGTTGTTGCCTCCTCTCATTGGTTTGCCGATTTATGCGATTTTAGGGTTTGGACCCCTCCCATAGCAAAATAAATACAGCAGGGGCCTCATCACCCTTTACAATCTGAGGGAGCTCAAAAAATTTTTAAAATTACCTTCTTGTCTTTAACTAACATTATCCAAAATTAGCGTTTTTTTAAGCTAATTACAATCTTATTCTAATTTATTATAATAAAATTATATATCCCTAATTAGAATTTATATAAGAGTTTGAAATAAATCTTTGATTTTTGCTTAAAATTAAAGATTTCATCATGAAATATTCTGTTATCATGAAAATTACCAATTATATACTTATAAATAGTTTATTACAAAAAAAAATATATCAAGATTTTTATCAAACCCTAATTTATATGACTTGTAATGCTAATGCTGAGGAGGTAGAGTAGAGAGTTGTATAAAAATGGGAAAGCAAAATGATATTTATTTTCGATGTTTATTAATTTAAAAATATCTCTAACTAAATCTAATAAATTTTATATCTATATATACTTTACAAAATTCAATTTAACGATTTACATAATCGGTTAATATAAAATGATAACGGAATGGAGAGGGTAGAAAAAGATGAACATATCTTTATCTCATCTGATCTTATCTTTGTTTATCATATCCTATATTATCATATCTTTTCTTACATCTTTTTTCTTTTTTTTCTCTTTTCCTATTTTTCTATAAGGGAGGTACTAGACTTGATAAGACGGGAATAGACGTGATGGAACGGGAAACAAGAATGGGTAGGGTGGATAATTAAGGTATCAAGAGTTAGATAGAAATGATAGAAATGGGAAGAGATCGGAAGGAACCATATCGGAAAGTAGGGATAGGAAGCAACAGGATCGAAAGGGACGGGATGTGAAGGTCAAGGATCAGATTGGGGTAGTATAGGAAAGGGTTGGATCAAATAAGCTAGGATCGTAAGGGAAGGTATGGGAAAAGCAGGGAGCAGAAGGGATGTGGAGATAACAGAATGGAGAGGATCGAAAGAGATGATCATATCTTTATCTAATCTCATCTTATCTTTATCTTATAATATCTTTCTTTCTTTTCTTTTTATTTCTTTTCTTTTCTTTTTTCATTTCTTTTCTTTTTTTCATTTCATTTCATTTCTTTTTATTTCATTTCATTTCCATTTCTTTTCTTCTTTTTCTTTTTTATCTTTTTATTTTATCTTTTTTATTTTCTTTTTTTTTATCTTTTTATACTCTATATTTTATTCACTGAAAGAAGGGTTAAGGAAAGTACTGGAGTAGATAAGACTGGAATATACCTGATGGAACATGAAGGGCAAAGAATGGAAGGGGTGGATAATATAGGTATCAAGAGTGAGTAGATCGGAAGGATAGAAATCAGGAAAGATCGGTATGGACAGAATGATAGGAAGCAACGGGATCGGAAGGGACGGAATCTGAAAGTCCGGGATCTGATGGGGTAAGATCAGAAAGGTTTGGATCGGATAATCAGGGATCGGAAGGGGAGGCATGGGAAAAGCAAGGATCAGAAGGAAATGCACGGAAGGGAAGGCAAAATAATCGGAATCGAGAGGATTGGAGACGATCTTTTCTTTATCTTATCTTATCTTTACTTATCTTTTCTCTTCTTACTTTTTTAGATTCAGAGTAATAACGTAAATATATGCTTACAAATAAGAATATCTAATAAATAAAATAATTATTCAAATTTAACTTGAAACACTTCTCTACACTTAAGTGCTATCAATTATTAAGTCTTTGCCATTTAAG